ATAAAAAAAAGCTATTTAAAATTGAAGGACTGTGGCTAGCACTGAAGCCATAGACATGGATTTTGTCCTACTTGAGGCTGGTCATCTAATTGTACATACATCTGAGTGTTGATTTTCACATCATTATATAATGGCTACTAGCACAACAACTCACACAGGATGCATATAAGTTAACAAAGACTGATATATTTCCAATCTCGATCATAAACAACGAAATAACATCAATTTTATGAATTAATGCCTATAGGGGAAGATTTAACATACACAACATAAAATGAATTTACTTAATCTTTTCTGGTTAGCGTTTTTTTAGCGAGTTAGTTTTCTACGGGATGGGGACGCTAACCCCATGCCCAACCCTCCTCCTTTATCCGGGCCTGGGACCGGCAGTAGCCCCCGGAGGGACTCCAGGCGGAGTTACTTAATCTTTTACTATAGTTATTATTCATACTTTGTAATAATTCAGTAATGAATCACTCCCCCTCCCCATCTCTCTTTTGTTTATTATATCAGTTAATTCAAGGTGAAAGCTCGGGATGTTTTCCATGGGGTGGAGATGAGCGTAAATGTGAATATTATGAAGTACTTACTTTGAAATATTGAAAAATAAACGTTACATTTGTTTATTTACTAAAAAAATTGTTTTAACAAAGAAATGTATTTAATTTAAAAATTGATCCTTATGAATTTGGAATAATTAATTATTTATTATCATTACAACTATGCTAAATAAATAAATATTAAAAGTTTATTTTATGTTTCGAAAGTGTATATGATCTGTCACTTTTGGTGGAGTTTTGTTCTCTGAGCTGGATGGTCTGGTCGTGGAGCTTTTATCGTTCTTCTGAACGACATCATCGGTACAAACTTCAGATAGAAGTGAAGTGTTCGAATTTCTCCATATGTGTTTCACAGCTTATTCTGTGCACCTCGATGTTGATTGGTTCTTATTGACCTTAAATTTATCATTGTTTACTTCTTTGTTTTGGTTGTCTCCCATTGGTTTGATTTTCGTTCCTATATTTATGCATGATTTTCCTGATTGGTTGATAAACTGGGTTGGTTTCAATATGTTTGTTGATTGCTGATTGACCTGAGTGCCAGGCTTCTAAAAATTCTCTGGTGTTTTTGGAGTTTCCTCTGTCTAAGATTTCTACATTTTCCCAATCGAATGAATTTCCGTAGTTATCCACGTGTATTGATATAAGTGAAGAGATATCATGGCGTTTGACTGCTAATTGATGTTCATGTAGGCGTAGGTGGAGAGGGCGTCCGCTTTGTCCGATGTAGTGTTTGTCGCAGTTGATACAATTTATTTTGTAGATGATGTTTGATTTGTTTTCCTTTGTTATTTCATCCTTTGGTTTGCATAGGATTGATTGTAGTGATTTTGTCGGTTTGTTTGCCACACCTATCCCGAAGGTTTTCAGCAGTCTCGTTGAGGTTTCTGATATTCCTTGTACATATGGTAGGGTGATCCTTTTGTTAATTTTTGTGCTTAACTTGGGTTCTGATGCTGCGTGCGGTTGGTGTTTTTTGATGTTGATTGGGTAGCCGTTCTTTTGAAATATGTCCCTCAGGTATTTCTCTTCATTTTTTCGTGCTGCCAGTGTGCTGCAGTGTGTCATCGCCCTCTTGAACAATGTGTGTACGCAGTTGATTTTGTGAGCTCTTGGATTGTTGCTGTTGTAGTTGAGGATTTGATCTGTATGAGTCGGTTTCCTATATACTTGAGTTTCCAGTTTTCCTGTATCGGTTCTAGTGATCAATATATCCAAGAATGCTAGTTGGTTGTTTGACTCCTGTTCCATTGTAAACTTGATGTCGTTGAAAACGTTGTTGATCAGTTTGTAAGTGTTTTCCAGTTCATCCTTTTTGACGATGACGAAGGTGTCGTCTACATAGCTGATCCAAATTTTTGGCTTGATCACTGGTAATATAGTGGCTTCTAGTCTTTGCATCAGTGCCTCTGCGATCAGTCCTGATATTGGTGATCCCATTAATGTCCCTTTCGTTTGTTCGTAGATTTTGTTGTTGAGCTGAAAATATGTTGTTGGGCATAAATCGATGAGTTCCAGTAGACTTTGAATTTGAAGCTTCGTGTATTTGGTGAGATTTGTGTCGTTGTTGAGCAGCAGGGATATAGTTTCTTTTGTTAACTGTGGTTCATTTGAGGTGAACAGTGCTGTTACGTCGAAGGATATCATGAGTTCGTCGTTGTTGATTTGAATATCCTTAATTTGTCCAGGAATTTTGTTGGGGATTTGATGGAGTGGTTGGCTGAATCTACTAGATGTCTCAGTATTCGTGAAATTTCTTTTGACAAATTGTACGTTGGCGTTCCGGAGAGCTCCACGACCAAACCATCCAGCTCAGAGAACAAAACTCCACCAAAATCATCCACCTGAGCTACAAATCTTCTCCACGATCTGTCACTTTGATATATCTGACTATTTCGATAGTGTAATAAGAAGACGAAGATTATCAGAACTATGTGATTTATTAGCACAATACATTCCGGACAATCTGATCACATATAATGCACTTCTTAAGAACATTTACATTTAGAAATAGAAGGTCATCTAAACAAATGGAGATGTAAGAGGAGACAAAGATAATAAAGAAAATAATGTGAAAACTCATCATTCTGGATAACGTGCTAATTTTACTAGGGTAGGTTTAGGGTGAGAACAAACTGTTTTTGAATATATGCAGTGGGTTTAAATTTTCGTATGATTAAGGCTTCAATAAACCTCAGTATACTGCTTGCGTTTGAATCCCGCGAGCGGGATTGTGGATAGGCACTGTTGAGGAATCCAACAATAGGACGAAAAGGCCATTCAGTGCTTCCAGGTTTTCAATGGGTGTCTAACATTAATCACTTCATGATCTCAATCAAAAACCTAATAATCTCCACAACCCTATACTGGCAATTATTTTTGACTGAAACTATTTTTAGTCTTATACTATTGAATTTGATTTCGTTCACTAATCTGTACTAATCATTGTGAATGTAAATCCATAAAGAAATCCATATAGAAATATAGAGTTCAGTTAATTATTAGTGTATATTCAACGTAATTCTTATCACTACTGCAAGGTTATATGGGCCATTATGTGATTTCTAAATGAAATCTTTTTGTTATGGGTAGTTAAAGTAAATTTCGTTGAATCTAAACCATTTCAAAGAACTCAATTTTTTGTGGTTTTTTAAAATCTTTTATTAATCAATATCTAGTCACCTACATTAGAGAAATTTCCATTTTTTACCAGACATTACACGGTTATTATTTTTGTAACAATGTCAATGAAACTGTTATATTTTTAACATTAACGATTGGTGTCTAGGTTCTTTGTCTTTAAAACCTCAGCAATATTGCTACTTCTATTATTACAAAGCACTTTTTGAATCGAACTGTTAAATATTTGGTTTGCTCAATTCACTCATGATCTCAACTGTTGAAATTACTACAGTCTCCACAAAACCCCTTCTGATACAAGTACATTTATGCTTTGTTTCTCAAATGACTTGAATATTGATGATGTAAGAAAGAAAGCCTCGACGTTTAATTTTGTATGACGATTAATAAAATGCCGTATTACATATAAGGTACACTATAAGTGAATTAATGATCAATTCATATGACTTGTATAATTATACATATCATCACTTATAAAATACTCAACGTTTACGGCAACACACTTGTTTCATTATTGTTTCCACAGTGCATGTTATCCTTGGGAGTCTTTAAATGTTAAACTCTTTAGTTGCCTTATCGTTTTACGTTTGATCGGATAATTATACAGACACATAATGCTTCCAAATTCAGTTCATTAATTTTCATCGAGATAAGGATGTTTGGTAGAATATATTCGATATCTTTCACAACAGGTCAATGGTTCTTAAGATCTTGAGATATTTATTTGAAATTAGTTACTCTCATCGTAGCTTCCGAATTTCATGAAATACTTGGTGTTTTTTTCGTAAATTTCACTACAACGTTTATGTAATTCAGCTTAGATTGTACGCCTTTGATAATTCTGTTGTTATAAACTCGATTCTCTCCTACAAATTAAACAAACTATAAAGTCAACCACTCAACCTTAAACAGCCCAAAACACTTGTTACCAGTTAATACTGAAAAATGAAAGGGTTTATGAAACTCTGGTTTAGCCTTCTTTCTTTGGCATCTGACGTTGTAGTTGTGTTTATCTTTTTCATACACTAGTAAAGATAGTTCTATGCGTACATAGTTTGTAACTAATACAATCAGGTACCGAAAAAGATATTATGTACTTAAATTATTTCCACATTGATCATACATTTTGTTTGTATTTAGTGCATCATATTTTCACTCAAAATAATTGATAACATACGTCTTTTCAAATAATGAGGTCCTAATTTTTCAAATTCGTGCTCGAACTAACATTCTCTGCAAATTAGCAAATATTACGTAACCCTTTTCAGAATATATATGATTCTTTCCAAGGTCATTGAAAAGTAATTAAATGTATAATTATCAATGACCTTTGGAAGGATTGTGGTGTATGCTACTTATGTCGATGTAAATAGTATTATAACATCAATCAGGAATAGAATATCTGGCAGCAGAAACTTGGGAAGTTTGAATCAGAGAGAATGGGAATAGAGAGTAATTATTATTCCAATAAAGGAATAATGAAGACTGAGGTAATTGATAAAGGATTTGTAAATGAAGTATGGAATGTATGTTTTTCACAAATTTATCAAAGAACTCTGTAAGTTTGTAGTAAAATATTTTGGTTATCCCCACCTGCTTTCTCGATCACAATGGATTATGTCAAATTATGTAATGTTTATTATTTCATTATAATAACACTTATTTTGATAGTCTAAGGAATAAAAGTTACCATAATGAAGTAAATAGTTTTAAATCCTTCTATCTGTTATTTGTCTTGTGTTAGTTAAGCTTTGATGAGTAATTTCTATCGAAACTAATGTAAAACACTATGCAACGCTTTTCGGTTTCTAAAAATTCCATATAGTTGACATTTTATATTAAAGAAATATCAGTAGTTGAGATCATGAGTCGATTGAAGATAGACCACCATCGAAAACCTGGAAGCACTGGGTCAGTTGTGAGACAGGAACTCACTGATGACAATGGTGGATGTGTCGCTCAATCTTGTGGATTAGTTGATGTTAGACATTAACACCGTTGGATGCCGGCTCAGTGGTCTAGTGTTTAGGTGTTCGCGCGAGAGACTGATAGGCCCTGGGTTCGAATCTTGCAGGGGGGGATGGGATCGTAGATGCGCTCTGTTGGGAAGTCCCACAATAAGACGAAACGGCTTTTCAATGATTCCAGGTTTTTGATGGTGGTCTAGCTTCAACTGACTCACGATCTCAACTATTGAAATTACTACAATCTCCACAAAACCTCTTCTGATACTATTAAAGAAATAGTCAAGAAACATATTACAGATTATACTATTCTTATATATGAATTTAATAAGAAAAATAATTATGACAAATAGATTTTGTTCGGAAAACATGATTATCATTTGCGTTTTAAAAAAAATGTAGGTATTTTTCAATAGTCAATAATCGGTTAGTAACAAAAATCCTGAATAAGAATTGATGAAATAATAAATGAAGCTAATTAAGATTGGTTTGTTTATTCTAAAAGTGAAAAAAAAATTCAATTTACGATAATTGTGGTTTGGGTATTGTCTGTATTTTTCTCTTTTGTATTTTTCTTTTTTGTAATCATTTAATTAATACAAGAACTTCATAATGATGCATTTTTCTTTCTTGACCACCATAAGGGAAATAAGCGCATTCATGACTTTCATGAACCTTTTCAATAAAATTAATTAATATAAGAACATATGAATCTATTATAAATGTTTGTGTTATATAGTTTACATCATAAATTGATCTTAATAAACTAATGATGATTTAAAATCATTAAACAATTATTTCTTCCCTAGTATAGGACTCTTTAGGACTATGTACAACTGTTAATTAAACTGTATGATTCAAAAGTCTATATAACGTATCCTTACTTATAAATGTTTTCGTTAGATATGGGATTAACTGATGAGAGCATATTATATAATGGAATATCTGTTTGATATTCATAAATGTGTTTTTTTGTATTTGTAAAATACAAGATCACAACTACTGGGTTACTTGTCTTATTAAAGTACTACATGAATGTGTTGGAATATATTCAGAGCCAATCTTCAAGTCAGAAAGTCATAACAAAAACAAGTACTGTATATTATTTGAAGAAGCTTTATGGTTATTCAAATTGAATGTTAGTGATAATGTGTCTAACTAGAGTACTGAATTAGAATCAGTAAGAATGCATTAGCTTTGCTAAGACTACATGTAAACCACTCAGACATGTATCAACCTACAAGAAACTAAAATTCAAGATTTTCTGAATCTAGCATCATATAAAGTTCACTAGTGTGGTTACATTATAGAGTCGATCAATAAAATTGAATGTAAATCAATAAATAAACCTCATGGTTATATATATTCTCCTGTAATGAATGTGTTTTTTTCTCTCACTCAGTTCTTATGTGTTTATCATTCGGAGAAAAAGTGTAATTTGAAAACTTCTGAGAATTGAAGAGAAAAACAATGGTTCAAATAATCTGTTTATAATATCAATTTATTGATTATATCATAGTACAATAATCAATAAACTAAGATAATGTACGTGGTACTCATGTAAATTGCGATTAATTAATCGATTTGTTATTTTCATGAGGATAATACGTTTGTTTTTGTGATCTTTCTAATATAAACTGATAAGAGTAGCTGATGAAATTATGAACTATGCATTTATTCAATATACCGGATTAGTCATTCGTTCTTTTCTGTTTTACAAACTATGTATATTTATAAATTCATTTGGTGTTGTTTTTATTTGTATCTTCCCAGAGTGATCATCAACTCTGGAATACAGATACATCTAGCTGACGAATCCCAAATAGGATGAAAAGCGCGTCCTAGATTCCACTGTTAGCCACTATCCATCAATGCTATGTATATTTATTCTTATATTGAAAAAAGAATAATAAAAAACTACAATGTCGATTTATATTAGAAAATAGATGGATTGTGGATGACAATGAAAACCAATGTGAGAGTTTCATTCTATCTGGGACTAGTCAACTCGATAAACCTGAATCTTATTGTTAATATTTACATTAGGATTTATATATACATTACCTTGTCCTACAAACCATTAACGTTTCATTCAATGAGCTATTAAGTTCAGCTAGTTACTAACTTGTTTAAAAGGTATGATACTTAGATCATTATTAGTATGAATTTGATTAGAATTGAGTTCTAAATATTAACAACTAGATAACGTAAATCTCCAATAATGATTATTTATTGTTTTACATTTATAATAGACTAACACATTTATTGCATTATTTTAGAATCATGTATAATATCTCTAGAATAAAGTGACTTACTTTTCCAACTACACGTTCACCATTAATATATTCTCGAGCTATATAAAGTGGTTCATTGGAAGAAGTTATACCTCCAACAACGGCATATTTAGGAACATATCCATTACTATGTCGTTCCCATTTGTAACTAGGATATTAAAAAAAAAGCGACAATAGTATTTAAAAGAACTTTAATTGTTATCTGTTGGGGTGATCCGGAAAATTGCTTGCAAAAGACAAGCAAGCATCAGGAAACACTAAGGAGTGTTTCATCCAATCAGCGTTCACTTGGAGTCTTGGCCAAAAATATCAAGGAAGCGGAACGTCACATTCCTTGCTTAGTCATTCGTGCTAAACAAGTACTTCCAATGAATTTATAATACAGTTATGAGTTCTATGTTATTAAAAATAAAATGTACTGCATCTAAATATTTGATAGTCGTGGAGGGTGGTGTTTAGTCAACAACATTTCAATGTAAAATCAAATATAATCGTTCTTATGATAACATACCACTGTTGGGGACCATGTGGTAATTTTGTATCACATAATACCTCATATGAATCGAATTCATATTCTGTTCCATCATAACTAACATAAGCTTTGCCCAAATGTGGTACAACTTTACCAGGAATTAGATCGCCAGAATGATATATACGAGCAATATAAACAGCATGACCTGCATCGATTGCATTTGATGGCACCCTACCATCTCTTTGATGAATCCAGGATAGACATGATTGAATTCCTTTGCCAATTCTTGCCATCCTTAAAATTTAATTAAAATCAGCAAAATATTCACAAATAATTCATTTGTTGAAGATATTTAGTTTATTACTTCGTAAAATATGTTGACTTTGAACCTTTGATAAATACTAATGATTGTTTAATCAAAAGTTATGGTATATATAGTTTAGCTAATTACCATTAGTATGTATTCTGAATGCTTTAAAACAGTATCCATTATTTTGGTGGTATGTATTTAATCGATGACAAAACTGTTATGATTCGATTGATACAAACTGTTGATCGACTAAGTTGTATCTATGCAGAATAATATTTCAATGTATTTTATATTTAGTCTGTTTTACACATAAGAGATAGAGATTTTTTTTAAAAAGGTATCTTTTATCAGAATGGGAATTTGTGGAGATTGTAGTAATTTAAGTAGCTGAATTCATGATTCGATCTCAGCTAGACCAGTATTAAAAACATAAGAGCACTGGATGACCGTTACGTCCTAGTATAGGACTCCTCAGTAGTGCGTATCCAATATCCCTCACGTGAGAGGTGAACCCATGATATTCGGTCTCACGCACGAACGCTTAATCTCGACCATTGAACTGGTATCTAACGATGTTAATGTCTAACTTCAGTTGATTCGTGATCTTTCTCAACCTTTCATCTTTTATATGAAATTCATACATTTTAAGCTACTTTTTTTAAAAATAGTGGATCACCAGTCAGCTTTGTTAAATGTCCAAGAAAATAAACCCACCTTCTAAGTTTGAACTATTTCATCACTTACGACCTATCTTAAATATTTCTTAAAAGAAGTTATTTTTGATGACTATAATTACATATTAGCATTTACTCCAAGAGTTAATGAAAATATTTACAGTTTAGATGGTCACTTTTTTGTTATGTGTGTTTGTTGAATTTGCTTAGCTGAATGTTTTAGTTGTAAAGTGTAAATCATCGTAATAGAAAATATCGTTCAAAACTTCAATTATACGCGAAATATTTTCTAACTATTCTCCAAATCTCTTACAACTAAACCATCCAGATTAAACAACATAGGATCATCAGCAATATTCATCTGAATCATATATCTTTCCTGTAGTTTCATGAAATGTTATCCCATTAAGTGATGTTTGCCAGAAATAATTTAATGACTGTTGAACAACTACACTATTGGTATGAAGATCTATATTCTTAGATAATTTTAGTTACCAACTTCATACTTTCGACAAAGAAAACTATTAAAATGAAAGAATTTTGAGTGAAGGCTTTAAACTGATAAATCAATATTTTTTATATGAGTTAGCGAATTGCACTGTGATGTAGAAGAGTATAATCAAATAATTAAGATAATTTTTGTTGAGATAGATTTGTTAAGAAAATACTCTGAACTATATCAGAGTATTTTGTAGCATACAATGAATTGGATAAAATATATACTAACATGTTTTCCATATATATACGCTCCCACGTGAGTAACAACACTGGGTTGGAGGTATTTCGAGTTGACGAGTTTCAAAATAGAACGAAAGCCGCGTCCTGGATTCCACTGCTATCCATAATCCATCTTTGCGAAATAGCTTATGATATAATCGTTATGCCGAGGCGGTTCTCACAAGATATGTATATGCTGGTTAAGACTGATCAAGATTCTCTTGTGAATCAACAACGGGTTACTTCAAACTACTACTACTACATATATACCAAACAAGTTTATTTAATAAATATATTTCATTAGATATTTAAAACCAATACCAATATTATCGTTAATATTTTATAAACTCGTTTTGCGTGTAAAATGATGTTGTTTTCCTGATAGAATACAACGAACTAAACATAAACTGAACCATGACACAAAATGCATTAACTTACTCTTGTTATCTTAATTAAAATGAAGAACAATGTAAGTTATGAACTATGTACAAGTTATATATATATATATATAATCAATTGTGCATCTATTCAATTAGGTCACATTTTGAATCTACAATGTATAAGCATGAGATTTTGTGTAAAATAACCTATGAGCTGAATTGTTTCTTTTCTTAATTACCGAGCTGTACACAAGTATGAACACACGTAGGCGAAAAGACAAATAAACATGCATAATTGATTACAAAGCAATCAACTCTATTTGATATGAATAAAAATAAGTACAAAGGTTACAAACAGTAATATTTAAATGTACTACTACTATTTATAGTGGTGAAAAATCAAAACGTTTACACTTCCTTATCGAAATACACACATTATCATTAGTATTAGTATTAGTATTAATGGATCAGTTAAATAAATATATCTGTAATAAAATCATTGACAATAGGTCAATCTTCTACTAATTAATCAAATAACAACACGTTAGCATAACTTCTTTGTCTTTTTTTAATTGGTATAGATTTTGAGAATAACAAGAAAATCAATGCTAATACAAAGAGCATAGAATAAAGAGGTTCATTGAAGTTATAAGAGATTTGAAGAGATTGAAACATGGTATGTGGAGATTTCTTGAGAATCATAGTGTCATAAACTAACAATTGTCGTCTTTTAGACAATTTATCACTAATTATTGATGGTTACATCCAACTTGGATGAAATAAGATAATATAACCTCAGGTCAAGATTTCACACAAGACATTTAAGTGAACTGAAGTAAATAATTTACTGTTTTTAGTGTACCTGAGGAATATTTGACATATTAATAATTAAACTGTCTATTGGATGACTCAAGTAACAACATAAAGACGGTTAATAAGGAATTACTTAGCACCAAAAATATACCAAAACATAATCTGAACACACTAATTGTGATATAAGTTACGCTGATTGTCAGATTTGTACACCATAAATTGAGTATTATTCATCATAAATAATTCACAAATTTAATAAATGAACACACCATAAAGTTAAATCAGAAGGGATCTTTTGTGGAGATTTTAGTAATTTCAATTGTTGAGATCATGAGTCAGTTGGGGCTATACCACCGTGGAATACCTGGAGGCACTAGACGGCTGTTTCGTTCTAGTATGGGACTCCTCAGCAGTGCGCATCCACGGTCCCGCCTCGCGAAATCCAAACCTAGGACCTACTGGTCTTGCGCATGAGCACTTAACCACTAGACCACTGAACTGGCATCCAGTGGTGGTAATGTCTGAAATCAACTAATCCACGAAATTGAGCGACACATCCACCATTGTTATCAGTGAGTCGCTATCTCACAACTGACCCAGTGCTTCCAGGTTTTCGATGGTGGTCTATATTCAATTGACCCATGATCTCAACAACTGAAATAAAGTTAAATGTCTATTAGCAACAGATATGATTAGTTCATCAAGATAAATAATTGCCATCAGCCCCTTACAATACGATTACATGTCAAAAATGCTTGGAAAAAAAATAAATTTCATATGTTATTCACATTCCAATCAGTTAAAACTTTGGTCACTATATTAACTATAACAATAATAGACCTTTTATTCAATATCATATGTTTGATTGCAGTCAAGGATTCACTGTGTAAAATATGCAGTACTGTTACAAAATTCTTGATTTTTAAGCAATAAGCTTGTGAATATTTCGAAAATATGAACTAAGCGTTTTTAAAAAGTGGTAAGCTATCGTTTTTTTACATTTATTCGTATACGCTCACAATCACTCATACTCATATGATAATTCTTTTCATAGCCTGATAAATCGAACGCTCAAATTCTACCTTAATCGCCTCTCGTTTCTAACATGGATAGAATAAGGGAATTATGAGAGAAATAATCGAATCATAGCTACAGTACTGCCTGGATTTCTCATTACTTAGATTCACGATGACTTGTAACGATATTCTGCAAATAATTAGACCGATAGAAATCAGGTCCAAGTATTCATTTACTACAACATAAAAGATCCCATACTGTTAAGTTATTTAGAATCCTATGACAAATCCCAAACAAAAAGAAATCCAAATCATATACTTCATTGCTAGTTAATATTCAACTTTAGTAACGAAAAACATATAGCAGCTCACGTGCAATTGAGTTTGTTCACATGTAATTTGGTTAAGCCCTTTTGTTAACTTATTTAACGGATAGTCATCCGTACAATAACAACTTATTCATTGTATCTTTATTATTATTGCACCTGTATGAATGTGTATGCTTGAGCATTGCTTACTGCCTACGCATATATTAACTCTGACAGATTTACTATAATTCATTCATTTCATATACATTTCAATCCTGTTCTCCCGCTCGCTGCTTCGACTTGCATGCTCACTCGCTTGTCGGCACAACTCTTTCATGCTTACTTAGCGTATCTGTAATTTTAGTGATCTTCGTATTCACCTTCTGAATAATACACCTTTGGGGTGTATCCTAGTGACGATTATTAGGACTAACTGTATACGAAGTTTAAGGATTATGTTGAATACTGACCACCACATACATATAGACTTGAGCTAAAATTTATTGTTTAATATAAATACGGTAATTGAAGGTAATTCAAGACGTGAAACATTTCAGGAGTAGTACTCTGCTTGTGTTTATGGAATTAAACAACGAAAAGTTTAGTGTAGATTTTCATAATACAGATAGTTATGGTATAAAACGTTCCATTATGGCCTGTATTCTAACAAGATGTTTGGAATAGGACTGACATAATTGATATTTTTAACTGGTATTATATTCTTGATTATTGTTAGCAAAGTAACGTTATCTTTAAGTATAGATAGAATTACAATAAACTAATTATATAATAGTCATTATCTGCTTATGATAAGTGTAAAACTTTCCATATGATATTTATTATTATATATTGAGACTTGTACACTCTAACTGTTTATAATCCACAATGAATTGATCAGTTTTTGATGCTGTACGAACTTTTTAATTATTGAAAGTGATCGGTATTATGTTTTGAGTTTATGTATGAATTTCAATAATAGAATGCAGGAGCATCATTGATTTCACTACTAGCTACTATAAATAAAATAATCAACTAACAGAGATTAAGCGAATCGGATCTGATTGTCAACAGTTCAAAACTAGGAATGGTTGAAATTTTGAATTTACACTTCAAACTAGAAAGTTTAGACATTGAAGTCGAATAAATACCACTGTACGATGTTCCAGAGTATACTTCTAAGATGTTTAAGGTTGATTACACTGATTTTATGAAGTGGATATTAAATCTCGTTTTTAAAAGATTATAATCTCCTTTGAACCTAAAAATAACCAACTTGATTGGTAGGATTCCTTTAGCACTAAAAGGACTAAGCAAATATGATGATGGTCACTACTCAGTGATCATTCGGTTTTTATAGTTCCGTATTACAGGTTGTTAGAGACCCGGAGAGCTTAGTGGAAACATCTCAGATTGTCAAGTTTGGTGATAGAAGTACATTTCACATGGAAAGTGTCATTTATATCAAAATTTAGATACACCTAAGTGACGAGTGCCAAATAACAAAAAACCTAAGTCTAGCAGAATTTCCTGTCGAACACCTCCAATCATCAAACATTAAAACCAGTCATCTTATAATACTTAAGCTAATTAGTTCAAATATGTCATTTTAAATCTAAATCCTTTCATCTTTACTATTGCTGCGGTGTGCACTTGTGGATATGAGTAGCATGTATCAGCACTTTAGAGTAGCATTCTTACGGTCAAATAAGGAAAAAGAAGAGAAGAAAATGAGAAACAGAAGACAATCGAAACAACAACAGGAATGAGAGAACAATGAAATTTGTTAGGGACAACTTAAGGAATATAGGAAAATAATGTATATAGTGTATTGTTTTCATATTTTCCATGTGCAGTGTGTTAATTTACACAATACAATAGATTTGTTTCCTTTAACTAAGTTTTCATTCACTACATTAATTATTCCACAACTGATTCATACTTTGAACATGAGTCATAGAAATCAAATTTTTTTAATCTGTTTATCCGTAAATTATAATGACTTAAGATAGGCTTTTAAAACAACAAAAACGTGGATACAGATTGAACTTTGATCAAACAATCATTTTAAAATACAACTGAATAACATAATACAAGCTATGAGTAGTGTTTCATTCGATGATAATCTGTTTAAATTTTTCTGTGCTCGGTTTTTTTGTTTGATACGTTATACTACTTATATTTATTGAGTGGTTTAGGTTAAATTCAAACTTTTCTGTAAAATAATGTGTAGGATATAATAGTAAATTACAATCGCTATAAAACCATGTATCAGTTTACATTTCATTTTCAATATCTTATTTCATTTCTCTTTTTGTATCAGTACTTCGCCTTTCTACACTTGTAGATGACTGTTGTTTATATTCTTTTCAATACAGGTATGCAGTGATTTCTGATTTTTAACACATGTTGTACTTTTACTGTTATCACTTGTCTGAATGATATACTTTTCTTTTAATTGTATTTCCAACGATGAAACTAATAACCGGAAACCTCTGTATTTAAGATTAATAAATCTTAAAGTGTTTCAACAATATGGCGTGATACTTTAAACAAATTTTATCAGTTAGTTTTAATCCTTTATGTACAGACACCCTAATTGAGAGATCACGACTACTCCTCCCTATGTGTGTAGAAAACTCATGCACAAGGTAAATGGGTCTCACCGGATCACACCATGGAGAACCAGATCGATCATATTTGCATCAACAAAAATTCCACAAGATCAATGGGAGACGTGAAAACCAGGAGAGGAGATGAAACTGCTTCAAATCACTGCCTCGTTGTGGCCAAGATGAAACTGAAGCTAAAGAAGCATTGGACAACTGGATAAATGTTATTACAAAAGCTCAATACAGCCTTACTTCGACATAATGACAAACTCAGCGATTTCAAGATAACTCTCAACAACAGATTCCAAGCCTTCCAGGATCTACTCAAAGAAGATGAAACTATCATAGAGGAGAACTGGAGAGATCAAAAAAGAAATAACTTCAGCGTGTCAGAAGGTTTTTGGCCGCAAGAAGCATTATCATAAGGAATGAATCTCTATGTAAACTGTGGACAAGATTCAAGTAAGGAAGAACAAGAAGATAGAAATTAACAACAGCCAAACAAGAACAGAGAAATTCAGGGCACATAGTGAATACACAGAAGCAAACAAACAAGTGGAAAAGAGTGTTAGAGCTGACAAGCACAAATACCCGGAAGACCTAGCAATGACAACAGAAAATGCTGCAAGAGAAGGAAATATGAAAAAACTGCTTTACATGAAGAAGCTAACTGGGAAGTATAGTAAAGCAGAGAGACCGGTTAAGGACAAGGAAGGCGAGACAATCATTGTGATTTAAGAACAGAGGAACAGATGGGTGGAACACTTCGAGAAACTCTTGAATAAACCAGATGCATTGAATCCACGGGATATCGAAGCAACACACACAGATATTCCTATAGATGTCACTCCACCAATGATCGAAAAAATTAGGATAACCATCAAACAAATCAAGAGTGGGAAAGCAGCACAACTTGACAATATACCACAATATAGCACTGAAGTCAGACATAGAAGTAACTACAAGTATGCTTCACATTCTATTGGAGAGGACAAAATGGGTTCCATCTGAGGAGGAAATTAGGAGATGACTGTGGAAGTGGGTAGAACATACAATGAGGGAATCACCAAACTGCATCACGAGGAAAGTGATAATTTGGAATCTTGGATGGAGGCGGAAAATAGGAAGGCCAAAGGACACACTGCGTCGGGAATCATGATTAGACATGCGAAGAATGAGTAGGAACTGTAAAGAACTGGAAAGTATTGTCCAGGACACAACTGGACGAAGAATCCTGGTGGGTGGCCTATGCTCCTTCATGAGGGGTAGCAAGCGGAATTTACGTAAGTACCCATTTAATTTGATAAACATCGTGTGATGTTACATAATCGTTTCCATGACTTTTAAGCTTTTAATGTAGCATGGATGTTGTTTTTTTCTCTTTGATAATGACCTTTGCTGCAAGTACGTTTTGTAGGTTAACATATGTTTCATCAAAAGTAAACTGACATTGTGTAACGTTATTGACTGCTTGAAATTTGTTTTCTTTTCAAAATTCATTTGTCGAGTACATAATAAACTCAAATTTTCATAATGCTAACTTTTACCACTTAATTAAATCTTATAGCCTGAAGTAAAATGAAATTAAACTAATAAATACTTAAGGATTTTTGATTAAAAAGGATTGAACAGTCAATTTCTTTTTTTTTAATTAAAAAAAACCAATACCTGTATCCAAATTAATAATCTAAAAGGTGGTCAAGGTTTAAGGCAACGTACATCGTAGCAAAATGAATTTAGGATTGTTATATACAATAAAATGTTGTTAAGATTTATCATATTCAATGGTAATTTCTATAAGTTTATACGTTAAATAAAATTATGAGAGTAATGATCAAAATTGAAAATGGATCAGATACAGTGAAAGTATAGTACAATTACAAATTCGATCAAATGTAGAACACTATACTGTAAAGTTGTATGAATTTAGTAAGAAATAGTATAATGGAATGAGTGCTAAATAGAATAATCATGCGTTCGGTGGAATAATAGTCTGGCGAGACTATAATTTATAGACGAACCAGTCAGATATAAGATAACGAGTCACGAATTTGGGCGCGGAATTCATTCATACATTTGGCTAAATAGAATTTGGGCATTATAGCTGATATCAGTCCGCGATGAAAACTCTAAATTTAATTTTTAACCCTAACCATCACCTGTAAATGAGAATTTTAACTGCTTTATAATCCTCATTTAGTCCTAATTAGAAGTTGTTCACTCTCAAGGTCACTTCAGCGTCGCTAAAAGGTCGTTCATAACTTATAGCCTCACTAATAGTCTTGTTCGATTAATAATAATAATAATGCACAGGTATGTAAATAAAGATAATAAAGACTAATATTTGACTAAGAAAAGTTGTAAGTACATTAATCAAATTAGGTTTTTCTGTTGTTAAGATAATCAGTGATTAGTGGGCTCATGCTTGACTCCCTTACAATGAGCGTTTAAAACGCCTAAACCTTTTCTTTTTGTCGTATCGTAGGACGCAAGGTGACCTTATACTGGCATTTCGTATCTTTAATTATGATTTGAGTGTTAATATGTTTTATCTTCTTGCTCCTTCCAGCACTAATAATCTCCGAGGTCATAGAAAGAAGGTTCACAAACCGCGATCTAATAAACTTAAAGCGGGGTCCCGTTTCTCTCATCGAGTAGTCAATGACTGGAACGCCTTATCCGAACAAGTGGTATCAACCTCATCAGTGAATATTTTCAAGGAGAAGCTGGACCTTCACTGGAAGGCAATCTGTCGGGATTAACACAGGTTCACCAACCTACTATTCTTATCACTGAAGACTGAGGTTTGTCACGGTAAGAGATGTTGAACATATTTCTGTTGTACATACATCAAAATGGCTATTGTTTTCACTGTTTGGACGACTTTAATTTTGGCGAACTTAAACCAAAATTTAATGACCCGATAAATAATTAACGAAGATTGTTTTATACTGTCTATATGACAATATCATTTCGATTTGATAGAATAACACAAGATATGTTGTCGAGTGGTTATCCAAAAAACAACAATCACAACAACTGAGAACTGATATTGTATAGAAATACAATTGAGAAAAAAACTTTGACTATACGCAAAGAAAATGGTTTTCAAGCCCTGTGTTCTCCGTCTATTTTTCAAATAAACTGAATGATATATGTATATATCATGTTACTTTCATGTGATCAGAATTGGGAACAATTGAGAAAAAACAAAACAAATGATTGTTGAAAATTACCAAACAATTTTATTTAATCATTTTAATAGAAAACAGTTTTGCTTTTACAAAACAGATTGAATTCATCAAAAAAAATGTTTTTTTAAATAAAATATTATAATTAGAACATGTTGTCATAGCAACAATCTGACTTATAATCATTGAATACTTATATTTCTTCTATATTGACAAGATATAAATTCGTAAGGAACTAAAAGAAATTTAAATAATTTTGTGAATTAAAATGGTAGTATTTATTTATGTTATGGCATATACTACTTATATTTGTCGACAGTAAACCTGACAACAGAAGGCCACGATAATCGACTTGTAGAAAACGAAAAAACTGAAATAGAAAGGAATTGTGAATTGGAAGAAATATACAGAATGTGAAGGACAAATGATGGAAATTTGCAAATGAAGTATTCAATGTACGGTCCTCATATTTTACTAACAGATTCTCTAATTTCATAATGAGTGACATGTCAGTTGCCCCCACCTGAGTTCTTGTTCACAACAATACTAATGTATTTTTTTCGAAAGACTCACTTCTCTTATGGAAATCATTGAAAATCGAGCACTGACTAATGTGGACTCTTAAATCATACATCTTTAAGCGATGTAAATATTAAAAGAAATTTTCTTATTTCACACTACTGATATCACATTTTTACATTGACTCAAAACCCATCAGAGTAAATAAAATCATGTTTTAACTATTTACAAAAAAACTTTATCTTATTGAAACATTGAAATTTAAACGAAGAATATTCTTATCAAATTCTATAGTTTCTATAGTGAAGTCAATAATCCAAAAACTGATCAAGTTTAAAGTAAAGTAAATTATTTAGAGATTATAACGTAACATAGCAACACAAAGACATGTGAATAAAAATAACAGAGCCGATGATATTTCCAGAATGGGGATTTGTGGGGATTGTAGTGTAGTTAACGAGAACACAAGTGGGAGACAATCAAATGTGTTCGAACACAAAATTACAGAACGTCTTCATAAAATCTGAGAATCATACAGTAAATACTTCATTTCCGAAATGTCAATCAATTGTCTCAGACTTCACTGTTCTTTCATTTCCACAGCAATTATTCTTTGTTCTCGTTCTCTTTTTTTTCATCTTGTTAACCCTCTGCCTCCAGGCATTTTACTTTCGATTGATGATACATACTACTTATATCTGGCGACATCAGTAGCACACACTACGGTAGTAATTTAATAATTGAATTCATGAGCCCATTAAAGCTAGACGAAACGGCTATTGAGTGCTCCCAAGTTTTCCATGGTGGTCTAGCTTTAATCAGCTCATGAATCAAATAATAATACGAATATTCGTCAAGATTAGAACGAATAGTTTGACAGTAATTGAGCGCCGAGTATAGAGAAGTCATTATATGTGAAAATTATATTTGAAATATTCTCAGCGATTGAAATATAACTAATTCCAACGTTTCGTCCAGCTAACTTGTCTGGACTTCTTCAGGGTAATAATCAAAATCAAAATTATCAAAGAAATATATAGCTTTTAACAATCAGGATTATACTGTGTTAAACCAATCATATTTGGGTGTTGATTTTTTGTAAAATAGGATAAAATGAGTCAGTTGACTACAAATCATGTGATGAATTCAACTACATGGAAATACTTAACTGAGTAACAAATCGTATGTGTGTGAGTGTGTATGTATGTATGCATGTGTGAGAGATTGATATGAAAGAATAAATAAAGTTCAAGTTCAAGGATGAAAAACTTGATAATGAAAGATAGATGTGCATGTCAAAACATAAATTGTATTGTTTAGAAACTCATTCAGTTCTTTCAATAATAATAACGATGCATGTGATACACGTTTCTCTACTTCTTAAAATAATGAGTGGACGCGGTAAAGGTGGTAAAGTTCGTAGTAAGGCAAAAACAAGGTCAGCCCGTGCCGGTCTTCAATTCCCTGTTGGTCGTGTACATCGTCTTCTACGCAAGGGCAATTACGCTGAGCGAGTAGGTGCTGGTGCTCCAGTCTACCTAGCTGCAGTTCTCGAATATCTGGCTGCAGAAGTTTTAGAGTTGGCTGGTAATGCTGCTCGTGATAATAAGAAAACTCGTATCATTCCAAGACATTTACAGTTAGCCATCCGCAACGATGAATATTTGAGTATGAAAGGTTGTATGTAGATTAATCAAATTAGTTCTAAGTTTGGTCAAATCAAGATTAACGGTTGAACGTATTTCTTTTTCACACATAGTTGTGATTTTAAAAAAATTCCAAATGGTTATTGCTTCTGCCGTTTAGACAAATTTGAGTCAAACAGACTTTTAAGGAAAATTACTAAGACGATAAATCATTAAAAATAATAGACGTGCACTGAAGCTATGACCAGTTTGCAATGTCAATGTAATTTTCTCTACAAGAGCAGTCGAATTGATAAATACAGAGCGAGGTAACTATTCTAGGTAATTGTTCTTTAGCCAGAGTGTCACCATTGGACGCGTGGAAAACACCAGTCGTAATTTTCTAGCACTGAATATTTTCCAGATCAGTATTTTCACTGGCTACATCACCTGTGAATTGTAGCCTTTGCTTAGGTCAGACCTAAAAACATGTTCATTGTATAACATATGTATCAGGTACAATATTGTAGAGCTTCTTCACATTTATTTGGGTGCATGCATTCTGATGTAACCAGATACAGTTCTGTTAGCACAAATGTAAGGTGACAGATTTTGATAGACTGGATGTTTTGTAGATGATAATGCTTTGCGAGTTTTGTTTACATGAATCTAAATGCCTTTCCACAGCCATATTCATAATAACATCTACATGTTCACCACATATTTTAGCAAATGCTCATCGTACTCTACTCACAACAGAGTAGTTTTTCATCAAACATTCAAGAAAAAATAATGCAGAACAGACAACTGTTTATGAATGCTTGTACTATTTTAATGATGATTGTAGTAGTTCTTCACTTTTCAGATTCGTACAATAAAACTGTCGTGACGTTTGAATTTAAAACTCTGAATTTCGTGTTGGCTGACAGTTGTTTTGAATCCCCTATGCTCTTGGATTGTAGAAATGCTGATCTTAATTTGTCAACCCATACCTTCATATTTTTATCCTATCCTCCTTGTTTATCGATGATGCTGAACAGGTATGTAGAAAACTTTCATCTCTATCAATGTTTCACTATCAATTGAGATTGAGTTGGTGTTTGCTATGCTACATTTGAATATTTTGCCTTTTTCCTTGTGTATGTTGAGGCATACTTCTGTAGGGGCTGTTACTAACCTGGTTCACTTGACCTCCAAATCGTGTAGTTTCATCCAATCTGTTCATTGTATTCCGTGCTTTTTGTGAGATGTTTCGGTTTTCATAATCCAGTCGACCACTAGGAGAAAGATGAAGGGTGAGAGTTTGCAGGCATGTCTGACTCCTTTCTTCACATATAATGCATCTGTCAGCTGTCCTCCATGCACCACTTTGCAGTGTAGTGCATTGTACGAATTCCGTGTAATGTTGATGATCTTCTCAGCTACTCACTCCATAGTGTCGAAGAACGTTCCACAACGTTCTTCTATCCATCTTCACGTAATAACTCAAATAAAAGTCCTTTTTCATGTCAACAAAAATATGGAAAAATCAAGATACGTTAGAATTAAAACTTGCACTAACATAAATGATGTCTATCATAGGTATCATTAACAAAAGTGCAAAACTTTATGCAATTCTGGCAAGACTTTTAGGTACTTTACAAGTCCCAAAATAAATCTAAAAGATAAGTTAACTAAAAGATAAACAAACTAAACAGTGATTATATCAAATTTAAAGTTTATAGCCAAACTAAATTAAAATTTCATATTCGAAAGTGGAAACCACATGAATGTTTTGTTAGTAAATTTCAGTGTAATGTTAAACGATTAACATCTCCGAGCCACTGAAATAAATTGAACCGACCAACCGTCTAACTTCTGATATGAATTCACTCAAAACCACAAAATCTCATGAATTGTATTGTATCTTTACAAAAAGCTTCCAACACCTTGTTAATTTTCCAAGCTTTTCTCATTCAGGGATTTATTAGAACAAGTATGTAAATTGATAAGTCAAATACTTAATGAAAGAAAATACTTAAAAAGGAAGAATATCCATTTATATCTCTTGATGTTTACCATGATAATTACTTTATGCCTCTATGTACTGCTTTGAAAATGATGTCTCACTTTCAGTACTTATTCCTATTGTATATATATATATATATATATATATATATATATATATATATTGTGAGATTTGAACAAATTATTGTGACTTTTTGAAAAGGTAATTCAGGTTGGTTGGATAGTTACTCCTTTCCTTCCGTTAAATGTAATAGGTCTTATTGACATGTAATATCCACTGTTAATTTAGTGACTTGTTTTGAAAATTTATGAGTTTCTCTGGGTTATTTTTAGGCTTTTTAAGATAGATCCGATGTTCTTCGGTATGAATCATGATTTTACAAGAAAAATTACTAATACAGAATGTATCATAAATAATACAACTATATACGTGTATCTAGCTCTGGGTTGACATAAATAGATATTTCTTGACTGAGATCATGGATCAACTAATGTCAAACCACCACTGAAAACTTAGAAGCACTATACAGCCGTTTCGTCCTAGCATGCTACTCTTCAGCAGCACGTGTCCCCGATCCTGCTCGCGGGATCCCAACCCAAAACCTTTGGTCTTGTGCTCAAACGTTTAACCCCTAGTTATTTTTTTCTTTTATCCCAACATTTTGAAATACATTTATTCTTTTATAGAACAATTTCAATTTGGATTGTCTTAAGGTAGGTCGTAATTCTACTGTTTTACATTGATAAAAAGATTAAAATACAATGTAAACCTAAAGTATTTCTCTCTATTTTCTATTCATCAATGAATCATTCCGTTTATGTACATATTTTAACTGTATTCACTAGGGAATCGTCAAATTGTAAAATATTCATTATATTCCTATGTTTGCTTGATTTGTCTTTTTCTTAATTAAAAAAAAGATTAATAACTCTTCTAATAATATTTTGAAATGTAGTTAAAAGTTAATATCTCTGGAATTATCTGAATGATGATGAGAACATTTGTTTGGAACGAAAGATACTGAAATGGAGTTTCACAGCAAGAGACATCTACACCTATTTGACAAGTTTCAACTAGGACGAAACTTATATCCTGGATTGTACTGCTAGTCACTATTGAAATTTAATGAAAATTAGAAGATCTTATAGCTTCATTATATTTAGAAAAACATCTCAAAGTAATGATATTACTCAAATAAAACGGTGTTTTTAGTTTCTTTCATTTATTTTCCCCAGCTCATTCAGTATTAAGATGGAGGAAACAAACATGAAGTTACAATAAAAGGTTTAGTTAATTTATAAATCCATACATGGTTCGGTTGTGATGAAATAGCACCATTAATAACTAATAAATGCTAGCATAAATGTCACTTTTGAAATTATTATATTACTGTTACTCATTATGTAAACTTTCATTAACATTATTCTGTTACAATCTTTTAGCCAGCTAAATCGAGTTCTAACTGATTCACGAAATGATAATTTTGAAGATACATTAGTTTATAAATATATACTTGCACAGTTTCTGTTAGATAGTTGTTTGGAATCTTTTTTGATGATTGAAATAAACTAATTTATTGCATTTACATTTTTTTTCAAAACATGAATAGTTTTAATTGTTTGTACTGATAACATTCTGACAGATTCATTACAAGTAAGGACCGGAGTTAGACAAGGTTGATTACTTTCACCCTTTATCTTTCTCCTAGTGGTCGACTGGATTATGAAAACCGAAACATCTCACAAAAAGCACGGAATACAATGAACGGATTGGATGAAACTACACGATTTGGACATCGGAAATGACCTAACTCTTCTATCTCATACACACGAGCAAATGGAGGTCAAGTGAACCAGGTTAGTAACAGCCCCTACAGAAGTATGCCTCAACATACACAAGGGAAAATTCAAGATCCTCAAATAAAACGCGGAGAACACCAGAGTATTTATAAACAGTTGTCTACCTAAGATATTCAATATCCGTTGGTCGGTTACCATCTACAACAACCTACTATTGGAGAGGACAAACCAGGTCTTATCTGAGGAGGAAATTAGGAAATGACGATGGGGGTGGATAGAACACACAACGAGGAAATCATCAAACTGTATCACGAGGAAAGCGCTAACTTGGAATCGGGAGATAGGAAGGCTGAGGAACACACTGCGTTGGGAATTGTAAGCAGACATGAAAAGAATGAGTAGGAACTGTAAAGAACTGGAAAGTATTTCCGAGGACAGAGTTGGACGGAGAATGCTTGTGGGTGGCCTATGCTACTGTATTAGGGTCAATAGTCGTCACTAAGTAAATAAATGATAGTATTCAGTTATATTGAAAGATATGACTCGAACAATTATTCTGTCTCTCTCTCTCTGTTGCATTACATACAACTTTGACATGTAATAGAAATTTTACAAAACATATAATTTGAAACATTAATACTACAAGTAGTTTCATCAGAAGCACAGTTTCCAAGCAAATATCTCTACCTATAAAAAAGTATAAAACAGGGTTCATAAGTAATTTATAACCAGTCATTCAAAATGTGTTATGATGTTGGAGTCACACAATCAAACTATTTATGAGCCAGAAAAAAATATAGGTTTATATAGAACATATAACTTAATTATGATTGTTCATATTTATACAAAGATTTCAATCTGAAAATAAAATAACAACAGTTGTTCTCGTTTAACGATTAACACTTGTTAAAAATATTTCCGGGTTCAGAAAATTGATAAACATCACCAAAAAACAATATTAATAATGATAAACTGTTTTTTGTAGTTTTTTAAGGTTATATCAGCCTCAATCGTCCGTTTCAAATGACCTCACACTTGCTCATTCTCATCTTTCATTACCGACCTACTAATACGTACTATATCATATCTCAGTTTTACATTTTGATATGTATATGGTTATAGATAGCTAAAGGAAAACCAAGAAATAAAACGCATTCATATTGTTCAAATTTATACTAACCTATTGTATCCTGAATGTATTTTGCATAAGAAAACAACAATACAGGAAATAGGAAGTGTTAATATTCTTATTAGTTGGCTTCTGAATGATGGACAGACGTTTAAATAGTTTTATGACGATGGTTGAATAATGGCTAGCAGTGGAATCGAAGAATGAGCCTTTCGCTTTATTTAGGACTCGTCAGCCGGATATGTCTTCATCTTA